GCCAGACCGCAGACACAGGGGTGGCATGGCCATGGACCGTGCGGCATGCCAGACCGCAGACACAGGGGTGGCATGCTATGGACCGTGCGGCGCACCAGACTGCAGACACAGGGGTGGCATGGCCATGGACCGTGCAGCGTGCCAGACCGCAGACACAGGGGTGGCATGGCCATGGACCGTGCGGCGTGCCAGACCGCAGACACAGGGGTGGCATGGCCATGGACCGTGCGGCGTGCCAGACCGCAGACACAGGGGTGGCATGGCCATGGACTGTGCGGCACGCCAGACCGCAGACACAGGGGTGGCATGGCCATGGATCGTGCGGCGTGCCAGACCGCAGACACAGGAGTGGCATGCTATGGACCGTGCGGCATGCCAGACCGCAGACACAGGGGTGGCATGGCCATGGACCGTGCGGCACACCAGACTGCAGACACAGGGGTGACATGCTATGGACCATGTGGCACGCCAGACCGCAGACACAGGAGTGGCATGCTATGGACCGTGCGGCACACCAGACCGCAGACACAGGGGTGGCATGGCCATGGTCCGTGCAGCGTGCCAGACCGCAGACACAGGGGTGGCATGCTATGGACCGTGCGGCATGCCAGACCGCAGACACAGGGGTGGCATGCTATGGACCATGCGGCACACCAGACTGCAGACACAGGGGTGGCATGGCCATGGACCGTGCAGGGTGCCAGACCGCAGACACAGGGGTGGCATGCTATGGATGAATTACACCGGCTGGAAGAAGGATCTTGGCAACTTCCCTGCTGCTGGGCTTCCTCAATCCCTTGACTGGCACATCTCCCTATCCGGTGTTTCCAGGGCTGCAAGCACAAGGCTCAGCTTAAAGTACCCTCTGGGAGGGATAGAGCCCCCAAGCACACAGCTGGAGCAGAAGTCCCCTTTGGAGGAGAAATAAACCCAGGATGCCAAGAACTGCTACAGACACAATTCTAAAGAGCATGTGCTCAGAAATTGTGAAGCCAGGATTCAGAGTCCCAAGTGAAAGGGTGCCAGCTGTGAGCAAAAGAAGCTGTGTTCACGCCCTGTACCAGCACATGTACACACACACTTGTGTACACATAGACACACACACACACACACACAAAGAGGACATTCTTGGAACTAAGGAAGGATAGTATCTACAAATCTACTAATCTAGAAAACACTTCGCTTAGTCAAAACCAAGACACACCTAGCAGGGATAAGAAGGCAGGCCCTGAAGTGGAAATGTGTCTGGGCTGAGCTGGCTGCGCTGCCCTCTCACCTCCCCAAGTGACCTTTGCTTCTTTTTTGTTCTTTCTTTTTTTGCCAGTCCTGGAGCTGGGCACTGATTTCAGGGCCTGGGCGCTCTCCCTGAGCTTCTTTTGTTCAAGGCTAGCACTCTACCACTGGAGCCACAGCACCACTGCTAGGTTTTTCTGTCTATGTGGTACTGAGGAATTAAACCCAGGGCTTCATGCATGCTAGGTAAGCACTCTACCACTGAGCCACCTTCCCAGCCCAGACCTTTGCTTCTGGAAGATGGAGAAGATCTGTCTGCATGCTCCCAGAGGAAAACAGGAGATTTGGAATCCAGTGATGCAGCCATTGTACCAGAAGGTATAGGAAGACATCCCCAAACGTCCGAGCTACAGAGCAAAGCCCTGGGACCCTCCACAGAGGCTGTGGGCACAAGACACGCTTGGGGCAGACTCAACAGGAAGGCTGTGGGATCACACACAGGCCTGCACAGTGTGACTCTGTTTAGGGATGTGATTAGACGAAGGAAAGGTCGCATGTTCAAAGAGAGTAGGAAGGTGAGAGTAACAACACAGCTCAACTCTGGAGCAGACTTCTGCTCACGCCAAGGTGTCGAATTCTTCCCAAAAGTCAATGACATTGTCTAGCGTTGACAGCAGGTGCTGAAGGTTTTTGTTGTTGTTTTGTCCGGTCATGGGCCTGAACTCTGGGCCTGGGCACTGTCCCTCAGCTCTTCAGCTCAAGGCTAGCGCTCTACCACTTGAGCCACAGCGCCACTTCTGGTTTTTTTCTTTTTGCTTATGTGGTGCTGAGGAATCGAACCCAGGGCCTCATGAGTGCAAAGCAAGCGCTTTACCACTGAGCCACCTTCCCAGCCCAGAAGGCTTAAGTGTACTATTTAGACTTAAAAGTTTAATCACAAACATACACTTTCAAAAATATTTTTTAAAATCAGGAGACAAAGGAAAAAAGAGAAGAGTAAAATCTCATTTTCAAGCCAGAGAAGCAGGAGCCGGAGCGGGTTAGGGGAAGCTCTGCCCCCTGAGAGGGCCTCGGAGGCCTGCTCCCAGAGCCCACAGCCCCGGAGCCTTCCGGAGCCTGCCCCACCCCCTGGGCCAGACTCACCAGCCTGATGCGCTGCTCCTCCTCCAGCACGAACAGGTTCTCCTTGTGACAGTAGAAGGCTGCAGTGTCCAGCAAGGCCTTCAGGGGCACCAGGCCCACTAGCTGTGAGCCCACCACCGGCAGGCTCAGCTCCTGCCAAGGCAGGTGTGGTGTCAGCCCGGGGGTGGGGGCGCAGGCTGGGTGTGGGCACCCACTCTGCCCACCTGAGCCTCTCTGCAGGTCTCCTCATAGACTGTGTGCAGGCCGGTGACCTCGAAGTCCAGGAGGTTTGTGGACACCTGAGCCAAGTTCTTCTCATCCAGGTACCAGCCGATGCCCTGGACCTTTTTCAAGCGTCCTGGCTGCAAAGGGATCAGGTTTCCCAGGTTGGAGAGGGAGGCCCGCCCCCGGGCCCTTCCCAAGCCTTCCAGGCGCTCAGTATCAAGTGTCCCTCACCATGCCTGGGCTCCCCAGTGCAGGGCAAGGGGGGGCAGCCTGACAGCGAGGCCCTTCTCTGGCTGGGGGCCGCTAGGGGAAGGCACCGTGAGTGCCCTCCCACCTGTGCCCTGGAGGTGCTGCTGGGCCAGCAGGGTGCCAGTTCCCCTTCACCCAAGCCCCTTTCTCTCTGGCCCTTGCTTCTTGGTGCTAAGCCATGTGAGGGGCCCTGCACAGAGCCCCTGAGTGGGGAAGGACAAAGACTTGAGGGTCCCCTGCTCTGAGTGGCACAGGTGCAGCGTGTGTATCGCCGGGAAGCGGGGCTCCCGGGCTCCAAGGGTAGGGACCAGAACCTGGGCCCCCGCCAGTTGGGGCTGGAGACAGCTGCTCTGTCCTCAGGGTGAATGCTGCTTTGAGCTGTTTTTGGTTTTGCTGGTACTCGGGCTCGAACCCTGGGCCTCTCATTCTCACTCTGCTTTTCCCTCACGTCTAGCATGCTACTACTTGGGCCACACCCCCGGTTCTAGCTCTGGTTCTTTGGGGACAGGAGTCTCCAAGATTTGTCTGCCCAGGCCGGCTTCAGACCTCAGCCTCCGGAGTGGCTTGGATTATAGGCATGAACCACTGACCTAGCAGTGCTGCACATGTTTAGTAGCAGGCTCTGGGCCGGCCTCTGTGGAAATGTCAGCCACAGCAAGTGCTCCTCACACCCTGACCCTGCTGGTGGGGGCCGGTCCTTAGTCAGAGGCCAAGCCGCCTGATGGCCAGGCTATGGAGACAGCTGACCCCTCCATACTGACTCCTCTGCGGTCTCAGCCCTACCCCCCGCTCCACGAGCTGCTGTGGCTCCCAGAATAGGGGGCGGGGGGGATGAGAAAAAAGAAGCCCACGGCCACTTGCCTGGTCCTTCCCTCGGCCCTGCTCCCTCAGGTTGAGGGCGATGCGGTGGGCCTGCTCCTTGGTACTGAGCAGGTTGATGTTGAAGGCAATGAGGAATTTCCGAGCACCCGTGACCGTGGCTCCCCAGCTGGGGACGAAGGAGCTGGGGCCGAAGTCAGGGGCCCATTCTGCCTGCTTGAGCTGTGGGGCATTCCACAGGGTAAGGAGGGCCTGGGCACCAGGGCTGGGGGGAGGGCAGCCACCCACCCAGGCCCGGCCTTCTGAGCACAGCACCTTCTCAGGCAGACCCTCGTACTCCCCCGCCCGGATGGCTGGCAGGGTTCGACGACCAGCTGTCCGCGCTGCCTGGCCGTACAGGTACACTGCAAGGGAGCCAGCTGGTCAGGTCCCCGGGGAGGGAGAGCTGGTGTCCAGGGCCCCGGGCAGGCAGCTCCTCCAGCCTCAGCCAGGGCAGACCACCCACCCTGCCCTCAGGAAGACGTCAAGATTGCCATGGGCACGGCATGCGGCTCACACCCGGAGAACCGAGGCGTGGATGACCCTAACCGCAGCAGCCAGAACAAGACAAATACAGAGAAAACCCCTACGAGCCCCGCTGCCTGCAGCAGCAGAGGTCACCTTTGCGACAGAAGCATCCAGGCCTGGCTGGACGCTGCCTGTGCCGCCTGCCCGCCACCCTTGCTGTCCATACCTGCTTGACTAAGTTTATCTTCCAGAGTGCAACTGACCAATCTCACTGGACAGCTCAGTGTACAGCTAACTGCCCTGCCCAGAAGCAGAGCCTGGAGTGGGCATGGCTGTGTCCTGTGGTCAGTGGGCGTGGCTGTGTCTGAGAGATGGGATTACAGGCACGTCCACCTCACATGCCAGACCTGGGCTTCTGAGAGAAGTCAAGGGCAGAGAACAGGAAGGTGCTTCATGTCCCTGGAACCCCAGGGCCTCTCAGGGCACTCACCGGGCACATGCAGCTCTTCCGCCAGCCTCCGGCCAAAGGCCTGGGCACAGAGCACACACTCGTCCATGCTGACACCCCTCACTGGGATGAAGGGGCAGACATCCAGAGCCCCCATGCGAGGGTGCTCCCCTGTGGGCACAGAGGAGGGACATGGAGGGTGCTCCCCGTGGGCACAGGGGAGGGACATGGAGGGTGCTCCCCTGCGGGCACAGGGGAGGGACATGGAGGGTGCTCCCCCGTGGGCACAGGGGAGGGAC